ACTGCAATTTTCATTAAATGCAATTATAATCCACAGCTTAAAAATAAAATCGAAATGACTGTCTAATCAATCGAATCTAATACCACATACAAACAGTCATAACATTCGCAAGTTGTTCATCGAACAAGTATATAACAGTCAATTTAAAAGTATCGTAGTTGGTAGTACCGCCACCTGTGGCGCGCATAGTCAATTCCCTTGCGTTTGACGTTAACACACTACCGCCATCTGTTCAGCATACTACCCACCACAGTGCACTCAAGAGATGGCGGTAATGTTTTAACGGCAATGTTTTACAGTGAGAAATATTCAATGTGTTTTGTCTGTTTGTCTGTGCTAATACCATTGTCCTCAGCTCTTTCATGTATGCTTAAAAATCACCGTGCGCGAAAACTGGGCGCTAGATTGCTCTTTATCAGAAATATTGTTTGATCGGCCAAAATCCGGGTTTGTATACCTTTTTCTTGTAGGAAGGTTAGAAAATGTCACGCCTTCAATCACACTCATCGCCAATGCGGACTGTTCCCCTTTTAACGACCGTGTTAAATCATCTTATCAAATTTTATTGCCCCCTGCGATTTGGTTTGTTTTCTTCTAATTTATTGTCTATTCGTTTTTATTACAGCGTGGCCCGCTTTGCCTAGAGGCCCTAATGGCTACTTCCTATATGCTTCTGCTGCTGCCACCACCACGACGATTGACGACTATAACTGCAGCTTTGCCAGAAGCGGCCATATCTGGACCACTTTAGGGAAGAATCTTTTTTTTTGGTCATGAAAAACTTATTTCCACAGTGTGGAAAATGGACAACATCGATATAAGGAAGACGCATTCATACGTTGGTTTTATTTGGTATGATTGTAATCTAAAACATACATCACAATTGAGGAAACTTCCTGTAAATTTGCACGCGTGCAATTTTGTTATCCCGACCTAGTTTTTGAAAACTTCGTTTGTGAAATCATTTACGATCGACAACGAATTTTTCTTCATTTATCGTCATCAGACGCTCGCCAGCTGGCAAAATAAATAGACTGACGGGAGTTTGGGACGATGGCTATATTCGATCATCCCTAAGGTGTCGAAGTATCTTTGGTTTAAAGGGTTGGAGGTAGGTCGAGACTTCATTCGTGTGATGTCTCGCCTCATGTCCAATCACTATTCGTTAAACGCTCACTTGTTCCGTGTTGGGCTGAAGGACAGCAATCTCTGTGAATGTGGACAAGGTTACCAGGACGCAGATCACATTATTTGGTCTTGTGCTGAGCATCGTGGAGTCAGATCTGAGCTATACGATACCCTTCGGGCTCGAGGTAGATAACCTAATGTTCCAGTTCGGGATGTTTTGGCTGGACGCGATCTGGAGTTTATAAAATGTTAGATATGTTTTCTTTAATAATACTAACCTTAGATTGTAAGTTTGATTAGCCTTGTGTTTAGTTTGTATTTTGTGTGTGTGTGTTTTTGCATATTTTTTCTGTATGATTACAGAGCTGATATAACGTTGAATAGGATTAACTACATGTTTTAGAAAAAGTGAAATTTTTGTATCATAAATCATACTTCAAATCTCCCTCTTCCCATCCATAAAATTGTCATCCACTAGCCTCGGGAAGACCGAGTATTCGGTTGAAATCCTTTAACTTTAGATTTAAGACATTAATACTGTACACACCAAAAAATTATGAATTTTAATGGTGACGTAAATATCCATGCATGCTAAAATTGAAGCATGTAAACTACCTTTTTACGTAAACTAGCAACTTGCAAGAAACATTGCTTACAAAGATGGATGGTTGCATACAATCTTTAGAATATTTCATTAAATGACTCATAAATTTACACGATCTGTAATGTGAATTTGTATGATATGTGACGCTCCATTTATGTGCATCATAGTGACAGAAATTTACACTACTTTTTCGAACTGTGTATAACGGAAATGATAACAGGGCTCTGTAAAGTTTGTTCGATTGAGACTGTACAAATAAAGTAATTAACAAAAAAGGTTTAGTTAAGGGGCAAGACAGCTCCTAATCACGAGCAAGGTCAGAGTTGCTTTTGAGGCACCTCGAGAAACTCACGTTGCTCAGTGAGCGAGATCACTGTCATTTGCTTTCTCAGTTTTCGCATAACTTGTTTCCACATAAGGAGGCGCGAATCCACAAAGCTTCTGTCAAACAAAACGCTTGTCAAAACGTGAAGTATCGTGTGTGCTACTTTGTACTTTGCTGCATAGTTTGCTGAGGGGGACCGGATGTCTTTGATATGATTGCGATGGTAAACGAGAATCGTTTCCGATGATGTAGCTAAAACTCCGCTTGTTCCGTACTCCGCTTCTTTTTTTGTCTAGGAGTGTTCAGGTAGATAAAGAGTCTAGCTTTTTAGTCAGCTTTCTACGGTACTAACCCTAAAACAAACAACAAGGAAATACGCATAGGCTCGTATCCTGCTTTCCATGCTCGGTAATGGCGGCCTGTTTGTATGAATAAATGTATGCTTCACTGTGCTTTTTGACACTAACTGGAGGGCGTATGTTGTTCCATTTTTTTTCTGTTATTGGGAGAGGGGAAGGGAAGGGTCAAAATCCGAACATCCAGATAGTGGCAAAAAGCACACTGAAGGATACATTTATTCATACAAACAGGCCGCCATTACCGAGCATGGAAAGCTGGATAGTAGTGTACATTTCTGTTCACTATGATGCACATAAATGGAGCGTCACATATCATATAAGTTTACATTATATATCATGTAAAGTTCTGACAAATTTCATGCAATGTAGCAAATATTGTATACAAAAGCCCTATTTGTAATCAACATTGTTTGCAAGTTGCTCGGTTGCGTGAAATGAAATACAAGTCTACGAAAATGAATGTTTACATCGCAATTAAAATTCAGAATTTTTTTTTGTGTAGCTTCCTAGGTCCCATTGAAAATCTTAAGAGAGCGCTTATGAGTAATTCTAGAAGATTAATGAAAATTTATCATTTTGTGTGTAGATACAATCCATCCCCCATTGAGTGGTAGTGCTTTATGGAAGGAACCTGCCTGCACCTATTTGTGGATAAAACTGTTTTAACCGATAGATGCAAACATGTTTTGCCTTGGAGAGATGATTCATTTCAAGAATGCCTGTTCATACATGTTTATGCTGCACAGATAAAAAATTTGAATTTTAATTGTGATGTAAACATTCATTCACGTAAACTTGTATTTCATTTCACGCAACCGACCAACTTGTAAACAATGTTCTTTACAAAGATGGGCTATTGTATACAATATTTGCTACATTGCATGAAATGTCTCAGATCTTTACATGATACATAATGTAAACGTATATGATATGTGACGCTTCATTTATGTGCATCGTACTAAACAGAAATTTACACTACTTTTTCGAACTGTGTGAGTTAATTTACATTTTCAGTAAGCCCCGCATGAACACATTTACATATTGAATGGATATCTGAAGTATATTCACACTTCAAGAATTAAAAAAAACTTTTTGATGCTGGCACGTATTTAGTGATAAAATTATAGTTGTAATTTATTTGGATAAACTGAAATATGGACAGCTGAGTGTTACAAAGCGTGAATTGGAACAAATGGCACCCCACACAGAAAAAAATTTGATCTTTAACTAACGCGTAAAATCTCCCTTCGTTTAATTTTGAGCGAAATCGTTTACAAGCTTGCATACAATATTGCTAATTTATGCGATATTGCGTAATTTTATGCCAAACTTGTGCTTTGAAATTATTATTTTCTACATCAAAACTTTAATTATTTTAATTTTTGCAACAACGAAAACGACGCAACAAAACAAAAACACGTCATTTTTGCAGCGCGGCCTATTCCGATCCTTCATTCAAATTTATCATTCTTAGCCCTAATTCACTGCAAACAAAGCACTGGATTCGCTCAACCCACCCAATCTTTCCCCACTCCGAGTATGCACATCAACAGGAAAAGACAACTACATCCCATCTTCTCCGGCGTGCTTTGTAGAGTGAGGAAAACGATCGTTAAAATCACGTTAGCTTTCTCCTTTGGCACAGACCTGTGGGTCCCAGACCGTAGGATGCAGGAAAAGTTGCAAAATTCCACAAGGCATTATCGCTGTTCTTCTTTTATTCTTGCATCCCACTTTCCGGACGCGAGCGATGCAACAACCATCATGATCCATCCCATGCATACAATAAATGGGACAGGAAACTCCCCCCAAACCTGAAAAGGAAGCGACTCGTTTCCATGGAGTATTGCCTCAAGTCGCTCCCTATCCCGGAGAATGTAACAGAACGTGAAAATAAAAATGTGAAAAGAAAATTACATGCATTCACGCCCGGTTTCGACGAGCCAACTAAAAGGGAGAAACTCTTTACGCCACGGAATTATAGAGCGTGCAGATACAGCGACTGCCAAGAGGCAGGTGGAAAGGGGGTGTTTCTTTTTCCCAGCAGATTAAATGCAATGACAACACAGGATTTAAGCAAATTATAAACTTTGCCCATAAAGCGAACGTGAAAAGGGGGAAAAAGTGTCATGCAAGTTGCCAAGTCAGGAGAACCACCATCATCCAGGTGCGAGAACGAGTGCAGCGGAAAAAGAGGGCCCACGAAACTATACTTTTCCTGTTATGGTTTGCAATTTCTGGTTAAACGAGTTTTTCACTTTTGCGTTTTTTCTTTTGTGCTAAGCACAGGTCGTCGTCGTCGAATTCCGGAGCTTTTATGAGCAACCTGTTTCGGGAAATGATCGCACTTCAAATCCATTCCGAAAGTGGTCATTTCCGGATGGATTTGAAAGTGTGTTCTTATAACGGGTTTTTTTTTTCAAAAAAGGAGTAGGTATCAATCCACTTTCAGCAGTTCCCTGCTGTACTCTCTATATAGAACATGTGCGTTTATCGCTACTCGCACATTCGAGCAGTCGTGAATCACCATTCACTTCTGTCATCGAGCTGCAGCTATGTATGTGTTCAGTGTTTTTGTGCCGTCAGTCCTCTCGCAATGCTCAGCTCCGATAGCCTAGTGCTCCGCGTTGCTCGTCCGGACGAGCTCGATCAGGTGCGGGAGGTTCTCCATCGGATCTATTACCCGGAGGAAGGTATCACCGTTTCGTACGTCCATAACAAGCAGCACACGCTGGATGATGAGCGGTTTTCGCTGTCCTTTGTCGAGCAGGGCACGGTGGTGTTGGCCGAAGATACGGCTGCGAAAAGGTTCATAGGAATCTCGATTGCTGGTGCCATTTACCCGGGAGATCCGGATTTGATGGAGCAGGAAGCGACCACGACGGAAACGAAGAAATGGAGTGACATTCTGAAGCTGCTGGCACTTTTGGAACGGACGGCTGACGTTTGCGGACGGTACCGGCTGGAGAAGGCTTACCATGTCCATATTCTGGCGGTTGATCCAACTTATAGGGGTCATGCATTGGGGCAGCGTTTATTGCAGTTCCAGATGGACTTGGCGAAGATAATGGGTTTCGGTGCGATTAGCGGTGATTTTACGAGTATTTTCTCGGTGAAGCTTGCCGAAAAGTTGGGAATGGAGTGTATCAATCAGCTTTCGTTGGGTGAATATCGAGACGAGAAAGGCCAAAAACTGTTCGAGCCACAAGACATCCATCAGGTGATTAAGACATGTGTTAAATTGCTGTGATAAGCATTTGTAAGTTCGCTGATATGCCTATATCAGTAGCTTTCGATTGACGAAGCCTTCGAGATTGTAACAGAAATTGTGTATCTATATCGCTTTAATAAACCGATCCAAACAGGAACAAGCTTAATTCTTATCTTAATCAGCCTAAGCTTCGAAACAGGATACAATTTCAAAAGCTCATTCAAATGGAAAATTTGACTAATCCAGTTTTTACGTGACGACACCGCATTCACCAAAGTGGCATTCCGAGTCGAGTTCTCCGTTTTTACGCAACGCATTATGTTGGCAAAATATGGTTCTACCCGTGAAATAGTCAACAATCAGCAATGCTACAACAAGCACACAAACGAAAAAGGATAACATCAGAAAGCGGCGTGGATTCGATGTCGAAGCAGCGGTAATAGCAATTGGTGGTGATCCCTTTACGGTAATAACATTTCTCTGACGCTGCTCGCATTAGCGTGTGTAAGCGGACTGGGAGTTTACGGAATATTTGCCTCAACTGTAGGGTACGGAGCGCTACTTCGTCGTATTCGTCCATTTCCGTTCTATCAAGCAGAAAACATCAGTATAATCAATGATTTCACCGTGCACAAATTAGTAAAACGTTTGTACCGATGTGTTAGTTCACAAGCTACATCACAAAGCCTATTAGAGCGTATTGCGTGAATATTTACACTCACTGTTCTCAAAACAAAAGAAGCGCTCCTAGCGAACTCGCTGTTTCTACCTTCATCCGTAGGTTTCAATGCGTTTGGACGGAATTGAAACTCGTAGGACGAATTTGGAATCAAGAAGCAGTGTTAGATTTTTAACAATAGGGGAAATGCAGGTAATGTCGGGCCACATGTCCCTAATTTGGGCCCATCGCTAAAAATCTACTATTTATCAATTTTATCTAGATGAACGCGTTATTGGGACGTTACTAATGGATATTTTTGGTTGCTATTGAAAATTTAGTTGATTGCTGAATTTATGTATGGGCCTAAATTAGGGACACTCAGGCCGACATTACCCGCATTTCCCCTATCTCAACAATGTGCGGCTCTTTATCAAATTCAAGGGTACTTATGGAAAGGGGAATAAATTTACAAGTCATCTTTGATAGAAACATTTCATTTTTTTGTTAAAACCCGTTCAATAAAGAGAGGTAAAGCGTGGGTTGTGCTTAGTAGGACGGAAATTAGATCAAAACCCCTATGACAACCTGAACCACGACGGACGGACGAGTCGACGACGATGAAATAAGATATGAGATTATGGCATCTAATGTTAGCTGCTCCGTGGCTCATTGTTGTACTAGTTACTATATCCTCCGCCACAGTATGGCAGTTTGGTTTGTAGATTTTGGATTATTTCAGGAAGTATCTCTGTTTGACACATTTTAGAAATTTGTAGCGGTGAAAAGTTGCTATGTGTAAAATATTACTTAGTTGGTCTAGTGTAATTTTGTATACACACCCAACACTGAAATGTAAGATTCTATTACAGATTTGCATGAAAAGTATGAAGAATTTGCAAAGTATCGCGACATTAACCGATTCTGTAATGTGGTCGCCGGAAGGTTTTGAAAATAATTTTGTAATTTTTCTGTTACACAGCAAAAAATAAATTTTAATATTACATCCCAGAGGATGCACTTCAATCATGTCGAAAATTTCATGTGCTTTAATGGCCACGAAAATAAACAAATACAGTAAAAGCAGCGTAATGTCAGTTCATGCACTGTATTAATGAGAATTTTGTCCTATTTGGCAAGTAATATTACACCATATTTTTGACACGATTGAAGTGCATCCACTTTGATGTGATATCAAAATTAATTTTTTGCTGTGTAGCTTATTTTTTGAACAAAGTTTGCCTTCTAAAATGCATTGCGTCTATGCATTGTAGAAAAACTTGCTTGTACGCTGTGGTCCATTTCAAAAAGTGCCATAACATTTGTTGTATGAAACATATGAAGAGGATGTAACCTTACATTGGATTTTAGAGAAATTTGTGTAGTTGTTTACCCTAACAATATTGATTATTGATTCTACCAACCCATAGGTATGACCACTTGAGAGATTGAACATTTTTGCCTTCGACAAAGTTTCTTAAAATGACTTCATCTACAATGTTTCCATAGATGATCATCAATTTCAACAAGACATAAAGAAATTATTTTTTTTGACGTAGGATTACGCGAGAAATTACGTCTTTCGGCAACATATTGTGGGTGCACTTTAAAAAAAAACAACGTTACGAGAAGTGGTCAGGATTTGACTACTTATCACTATGTGAATAGTGGATGGATTATAACTTTAAACAAGTCAATCAATTGGAAATTTTTCTACGAATCTACTAAAATGAACACTTTAATAATTTTCAATACCCAAGCATCAATCAAAAAGCTTGGAAGATTTATTCTTATTTTATTATTGTTTTATCATAGCATCGCTGGCAGGCTATGGTTGTATTATGGTTTTATGTGGCGGTTTTAAAAATAGGCCTTTAAGAAGTCTTTAAAATTATTTTATCACTACAATATCAAAACTCAGTCTTTATATTTTTAACTATAACTTTAAGGTGGTTTTGTGTCCCTCTTTAAAACTGAAGAATAAAACATGCAACTAAGTTTATGAGATACTTTTTCATGACCATTATAAAACTTAAAGCACTAATAATACTTCATTATAACCTCAATACAATTATCATTATTATCAGAGGCCTAAGATTTTGAGCGAATAAATACATCACAACAATAACAGAAAACCATAAATCTCATTATGAGTGCGTGGAAATTATATAAATCGAGTGGAACGTTTAAAATAAAAGTGAAGACGAATTTTCGACAAATCGAGAATTCGAGAATACAATACTGGAAAAATTCGATACTAGGAATATGTAGACGCACATAATCAAATCGAAGGGACAACACTGAGGCATTGCTCACCGTTTTCGAAGGTTTGAACAAACTTGAAGGGCATGCTGTGGAATACAAATATTTATGTTAGATATTAAAAGCACCAATTAATTTGAAACCTTACTTGATTTGAGAGCTTGAAATTTCATCCTAGGAGAGTGTGTCCTATTGAGGCATTTCAGAGGAGCGACAAGTTATATAGTAAAAAAAATGTCGCCGAAGTAGAAAATTTTACATAATATTACGAAGCATTCCCTAAATGGATAGGAAAAACACAGTCATACAACTATTTATAATGCGACAATATGTGTCTGGTCATTGTTGATGGCAGAAATAGTTTTTTCTTAAATGGAATATGGGTCATTCCGCGCCAAGTGGTCACAAAAAATTGCAAAAGTGAAATTGACCTCTTCCGATTTGAACCAAATTTGGGGGGAATGTTCATTTAAGTTCGAATTCTAAAATTCCAAAGTTGTATGCTGATCGTAGCACCCCTCGATCAAGGGGTACATTTTTCATTTTTCATTATTTTTTAGAAACCACTACTTTCTTTTGTTCATATCTCCGGAACAAATAAAGCTACAAATTGCATTAGGTATTGTTTTAATAATGAAATTAGCCAAGAAATCTAAATTTGTAACGTTTGTTTCTGTACAGTGTTGCCAAATATTTTTTATTTTTGTTTGAAAAATTTAAATGCAGTTTTCTTATAATACATGTCGTTTAATTTTCATTTTAAGGACACCATCGTGTTCTTCATCCTTTTTTACATCAGAAACACTCAACGACAAAAAGTAATTTGCGTAGTTCCTGAGATATTGCATTTTGAATGAATGAAAGTCATAAATTATGAGGGTTATTTTTTTAACGTTTCCTCGTAATAAGATTAATTTTCATGACTTACTTTGTTAAATAATACTTGATGGAAACAAAATAGGTATGATAAAACCAATAATAGTTTTAATGTAGTGTTGACAAATTTAAATATTATTTAGTGGCTGAAAACTTTACACTAGTAATAATCTAAACGAATTGCATTATAAATTAAGACATTCCTATACATACAATATTGTATCAAACACTGATCGATTTGTTTCTTATATTTTATTATAACAATGTAAAACATAAATTACAATTTACTTATTTTTCTTCTCAAGGCTAGCACTTGGTGATGATTTCTTCCCATTATTATTCGAATCCACTTGCTTTGCACGTTTCGTTGCCACAACTCTAAAAGCTGAACCAGTTGTGGCACCAGAAACAGTTTTCATAATAATGGTATCAATACCAGAAGGAGCTGCTGCATGAATTGAACGAATACCGGGAATAGATGCAGCTGATGCAAAACGGTGGAACAGTATTTGTTTTTCTTCGGAACAGATCTCAGATGACACAAATCTAACGTTTGTATTGCAATTCTTCATTGCCCAGTCAGAGCTCCTTTGGAGTGTGAATAGTGGCTCCTTGTAAACTAGCTCGCGTTGCCATTCTCTTCAAAGTTCATCCCAATCCGTCGCTTGGTCCTTTGCCATGTGCCGTAACAAAGTAGTGCCACTCAGTGGGCACCCCAAATTTTCTTTCGTGGAAAACCAGGGTACCGCACCATCGGAGAAGTACGAGATTTTGGACAACTGTGATACGTAGGATTTGAGATACTCTATGAAATGGCGCTGGAAAGCATGAAATGTTGTTGTGCTGTGCTCTAGAGTATCGGACATTATGACGCAGTTCAATGGTACAACTTCATTCTGGTGTACAGTGTAGGCATCAAAAGTGTGAACGGTTGCCAGCAAATCATTATAATGAATTTCCTGTACACTTAAAAAAACAAAAGAATAGTTTTCAGAGAAATCTGCCACTACAACGACTTCACCTTCACGTAAGCTATGACGAGTGAATTTGAAAAACTCGAAAAGTTCTAGTTTCGCTACAATATAGACGTGCTTTCGTACGGCTGGGATTGAAATGAATAATTCAAGATGAATTTTACCTGTCATTATACATGTTTTTTTTAACCGCCAGATGACATTGCACGCATACTTTCCGACCTTTGATAATTTTCGGCAAAGTTTTTATTGTACACGTCATGAAACCGTGCAGAAATTGGTTTCAAACTCTTCCGACGAATAACTGTATGCAGATGTATGCAGCACTGTTGTTGCATTGTCGCATACATGTCTCCATATTGCTT